GTACATGAGCTTAAAGCAAAATTAACTAACTAACAGAGAGATGTGCGAAGAAAGTGGCGGGGCGGTGGGGAAAGTGTGAGGGAAGAGTGGTGGTGGGGGGAGAAAATTGCCTTTGCTTTGGACTTAAATGCTGCTCAAGCGGATTTTCTGACCAAACAAAATCAAAGCGCGAGCCAGGCGACAAATTGTGGCAGCAGCAAAGGGCAGGGCAGGAAAAGGAAAAGGAAGTGAAGGAAGGGAGCGGGCAGAGAGAGGTGTAACGGGGATGTCTATATATGCAGTAGATATGTATATTTCAATAGATTTGTTGATAGTTCCTGTAGATTTCTTGGGTTCTGCTGCACTCTGCGGAGCTCTGTCTTGCCGCTTCATCAATTTAGTTTTCGCTGCCACATTAAAGGCAGCTTCTGGTGGCAGACACAACTCGACTGGCGACTAGTACTAGTCCATGGCCATAACATAATGTTACACACACCCCACACCCCACACCCCACCCCTTTGGGCTTGGCCTGCCGAGTTTTGATTTATTTTCCTTGAGCATTTAGATACAAAAGCCGCGGGAAGAGCCGCTCGCCGCTCGCCGCTTACTGTTGATGAGATGGGTGGATACCCAATGCCCTGCCCCACCCCACTCCACGGGTTCCAGCTCCATTCTAAGCATCTTTTCACTGCAGACAGTGTGGAGGCGTATGGGGGGCGTGGACCAGGGCCAAAATCATAAACCACATGGCTCGACAATTGCGAGAGGGTTTTGTGTGTGTTTGTCTGTGTATGTGTGTGTGTGTGTGTGTGTGTGGTTCGACGATAAATAATTTCCATGTTGTTCAGACATTTCCTTCCCCTCACTGCCCGTGCCTTACCATAACTGCTCTGTTCTGCGGTTGTTCTTGTTCTTGTTCTTGTTCTCGTTCTTTCATAATTCCGGAAGCTTTGATCAGACGTCAGTCGGGCCCTAAGCCTATTGCCGTGAAGCACTTGGCCACAGCCCACTGGGCCACGCCCAGCCAGAACCAGAACCAAAACCAAAACCAGAGCCAGAGCCAGAGCCAACCAAACGTACGCCCACCACTTGAACTTCGAACTCTGGCTGGGGACTCTGCGCTCCTTTGGCTGCTTGAATACTTTTCTCGTTTCTCGCTTTGCCGTTTCCCGCTTTCTTTATGCCTCCTTTATGATTTACGCAGAAGGAATGAATATTCCTTCTTGTTCTGGATTACCCCTTTGGGGTATGCCTGGATGGGTATATGCGCTGGATCCTTCCCTCTGCTTCAGTTGGGAAATATCTGAAGCAGTTACCTTTGAGCTCTGCCCATGGGCTGCTCCAGGGGTATCCCCAGCGTCGACAGTTTCTGTATTAAGTTCTCGGAACTTTAGTTGCTGGTCTCTTTGGTCTTTGGGCACAGAAAACTCTTTGGTCAATTGGACAGCTCCCGTCCCACCACCCCATTGTGGGTGTGTTTTCCAACGGCTTTTGTCTGTGTTCTGTGTTCTGCTCTCGAACTTGAATTTCATTTTGTGGCTCGCTGATTAATGAATTTGATAAAAAGAAATTTCCACATGGCAGCAGTGGGAGGGAGAGAGAGAGAGAGAGAGAGAATCTCTCTCTATCCACATTTTGCTAATTAACATGAGTTTCTTGCCCCTATAATGAATGCCCCCTACCCACCCCCTATATCCACTATATACATAATATATATATGTTTATTTCTGGGACATTTTCATTATGAATCAAATGATTTGTGCGCTGCGATAAGCGCACCTTTGGCCAGAGTTCAGAGTTCACAGCTTAGAGCTCAGGGAGAGCTGAGCTGCCAGAGCTTCACCCAGCTATTGATTCAAGATGAAGTTGGATTTTTTAATTAATTAAGTGGTTAGCTGTGCCAGTGGATGTGCATGGAGATCGAGATGTAGATGGAGCGACTGTGTGGCAGGGTCTGGGGGCTAAGCAGTTTTGCTGGCTCAGCAAAAGAAAACACAGGAGGGGGAGGAGAGCCAGAGGCCACACTCTTTTAGATGCGAATCACTTGGATTCATGGCGCCGGGAACAAATGCTGGTACAACTCCCAGGCAACTCCTTCTGATCAAGTGGGCCCCAAGGAGTCGTAAACATGGCCAGGACTCCAAACGTGTCCACACACACACACGCACACACGTGGACACACACACACACACACACACACACACACACACACACACTCTCGCTCGCTGTACGTGAGGTGTCGCCCATTTTTGAGTCCAAGCCAAAGGAAGACAAAACTTTTTTTCACGCAGCATAATATTTTTTTGTTTTTTGTTTGTTTTGGTGTGTGTTTTGCCTCTTGCCACCGCATACTGGCTGCGGCTCTGGCTGTGGCTGGGGCTGAGGGGCCCAACACTTGTTGGGCTCTGGAGACGGGGGCTGTCCAGGCCGCAGGATAAAACGCTCTCCGAGGACACTGTCCGATAAAGCCACTCCGCAGTGGATGATTCAACTCGTATGAATACTCGTATGCGTGCATTCATTCTAAGCAATAACATTAATATATATCCACAAGGCAGTAAGGCCTCGAAAGGCATTTACAGATCCCCCAAAACATGGCAAATACAGAAATACTTTTGTACCTGTACTTGAACATCGGAGAATCAGCACTCAAAGCATTCGGAATGATTGCTTCATGGGTTGTCACAACAATTTGCATATGCTCAGACAGCACACAGACGCAGACACTCATTCACTGGCATTCGCCCATTCACCCATTCAACCATTCACCCATTCAACCATTCATTCGGGCATTTGCAGATTAGTGTCAAGGCAGGAGAGGCCACAAAATCCAAAATCCTTTTCCCAAAAGCCCATGGTCCGTTCTACGGTGCTATGCTGCTGCATTTGCACGTGTCTTGGACATAAAATTGAAGCTCTCTCCAGTCCGAAACCCAAAACGATATTCGTGCCAGATATTCGTACCTTTTTGGGGATAGAGGAAGGAGCTGTGGGCTCCTGGGGGGGGGGGTCCTGTGCTCTGATGTTAGCTGATTCAGCAGAAGGCGAGAGTCATTTGCGGCAATTGCAGACTGGCGTGTATCTTACGGATGCGAATGTATCTTTTGTGCCCCATTGAGGCTCCCAAGTAATTGTTATGAACTTCATTCCGAATCAGTCGAATGTGTGTGCGTGCCTCGACTGCTGAGAGTTGCAAGGGGGACGGGAACGGGGGACAGGCAGGGACAGCGGCAGGGACAGGCAGTGGCCTTTCAGCAAATTGCTTTGATAATTGTTAACATCTCATGCGCGGCACCTAAGCTCCCTCGCTACACTCTCTTGGGTGGGCGGAAGGGTCTCCTGGGTCTCCTGGGTCTCCCTGCAACTGCGCCCCAGTTGGGCTGTCGGCTGTTGCATCACTGTGTGTGGTCCTGTGCCTGGGCGTGGCACTTAACACGGTAACTTGTTATTTTGTGGTTGACTAATTGCATGTGGGGCAGAACCCAGCAACGCACCAAAGGAATTCAAACCGAAATCACAATCAGATGGGCGCGGGGGTGCCTGCTGCCTGCTGCCTGGTGCCTGGTACATGGCAACATGAGCATCAGGATCAGGCAGCGGCAGCGGCAGCTGCAACTGCAACTCCAAATCCAAACAGGAGCCACTTGCTCCACAGTTGCCGACACGAGATTTATGCTGCCAGTGATATGCCCAAACAGGAGGAGTTGCACTGCCACTGCCACTGCCACTGGCAGAGCAGATCCGTAGCGTAGCCCATGAGGGGCCCATGATGTCCGAGTCATAATCCGAGCTACACTCCAGCAAAAGGGATCCATGGATAGCCACAATAGTTGATGTCTTTTTTGGGGTTCATTTTACTAGGGTTTCGAAGGCTTTCCCTGTGACCTGAGCGACAGAAAGCTTCTGGGATTTTTCCCAATTGCTGCCAAAGGGCTGCTCAAATTTCTCCCAGTGTTGCAGTGGGGTACGGTACCCCCCAAAATGCAATGCGCTTTTCAAAAACCGAGGACTAAATCAACGGCATGCACCCCTCCGGTCTCCGGTCTCCGGCCTCCCTTACCCGTGCGATGTGCAACTGTTCTGCTAGCTCATGTTTCGGGTATGGCGAGTGGGGTTTCTGGGGGCTGGTGGGGGCTGCCACTTCCTGCCATGCCCGGTGTGCAGACAGTGCGTATGCGTGATGCCCGGGCGTCCAACCACCCAGGCTCTAAAATATACTTTGCATGTGCCTGGGTTATGGCTTTTGCGGTTGAATTTTGCAATTTTGCAAATGATAAAGTGATCCAAGCGAAGGCTACCAGCCCACCCTGCACCCCTCCTTCCCCTTTTCAGTGGGTGTCAGCGGCAATGGTTCAAGTGGTCACAGCATGACCACCTCCCAAAGATGAATGAGCCATCGGCCACAATGCTGGATGGAATGGAGACTGTTGCTACACGACGACGGCGACGACTGCAGTTGAAGTTGGGTGCTGGGTGCTGGGGTTTTGCAGCGTGTAGAAGGCCAAGGCATGTTTCCGTTGGGTTGCTGATGCTGCTGCTGCTGCTGATGCTGGTGCTGGGGCACAAACACCGCACATAAAACAATCAGGCGGCGACCACAGGCTGACACGAAACGCCGGAAGAAGCAGCAAAATGAAGTCACAGACAGAGGCAGAGGCAGAGGCAGGAACACAGTCAGAGAATGGGTCCCAGGAACAGGGCGAGGCAGGAGCTGGCAACTGCAACTGGAACTGGGAAAAAGCATAGGACACAATTCATACATGAATGCCTTCATTTGTGAATGGAGGAGAGGCCGAGGTGGAGTGGCAGAGTGGCAGAGTGGTGAGTGGGGGAGTGCGGAGTCCGAGAGCGAAGGGAGTATGCAATCTAATCAGTTTATTTGCCTTTGGGGGAAAGTAATTGGAAGTTGTTGCACTCAATTACAGTTAATGTGCGTTTCGGACTCCGGACTCATGCCCCAATGAGTGCACTCATCTAAGAGGCGTTTCCCCATCGCAGAGACTGAATGCACCGAAAAGTATTTGTGGCTTTCAACGACTACACAGTTTAGTTTTACTCAATTACAGCAAACGAAGATGATTACAGGAAAAACATTAAAAAAAAAACAGATTACAGATTATAGATACATGTAGTATGTAGAATGTAGCATGTAGCATGTAGCATGTATTAGGTATCGACAATGATTCAGATTCGTGGCCTACAACTTGCTCTTGATGGTGCGCAGAATGGGGAACTTGTCGTGGCCGGTGCAGCCGCCGCGGAAATCATCGAAGCTCAGATCGAGGAGGGCCACGCCGCCGAGTCCCTCGCGCTTCACGTACTCGGCCTTGATGCCGGCCGTGTCCGGATCCTCGTAGCCCACCCACACGCCGTTCTCGCCGGCATCGTCGGCCGAGCGGTAGGCATAGCTGCCGAAGCGCTTGGTCGGATCGCCCACCTTGCGCAGCGGCCCATCGGCGCCCTTCAGATGCTGATTGGCCGGATTGGGCAGCTTGGCGCACACCTCCGGCCAGCTGAGGAGTCCATCGACCTGGGTCTGGAGTCCGGCCGGTGCAACGCCATCGGTCTCGACCACTGGGGGCAGGCCGGTCAGGCCGGAGTCCTTGGTCAGCTTCCAGGCACGGCCGTAGGCGGCGATGACGACGTTGATCTTGGAGGCCGGGGCGCGGTTGTTCACCCAGTACTTGACCTGGTAGTTGACATTCAGCTCGGGATTGCGCTCGTTCGCCTCGTAGATGGGGGCGGGGAAGTCGGCCACCTCCTTGTTGCGCTCGGGGGTCTGGAAGTCGTAGGCGTGCAGGTTCACGTAGTCCAAATTGTTGATCACGGCGGGAACATCGAAGAAAACTGCCAAAAAACAAAGCACAAATCGATCGATCAGTCGATTATAATCGATCTACTATCGATTGATTGATTGATTGATGGACACTTACGCGATGAGTTGACATTGGGCAGGACACTGAGGCCCAGGAGATAGCCATCGGGCCGGAAGGCGTTCTTCAGCTCACGCACCAGGGCGGTGAACTCCTCCTTGTGCTCCTCGGACTTCTCGTCGACGATGTGGTCGCCGCTGAAGATCTTCTTGAATCCCTTCCAGAACTTGCCAATGCTGCCGTGCACCTTCTTGGGCTTGTTCTTGGGGAACTGCCAGGCGAGATCGAGGCCATCGAAGCCGTAGGTCTTCACCAGCGAGTGGGCGCTGTTGATGAACGGAATGCGGGCATTGCTGCTCTCCAGCAGGGTCAAATACTTGTTGTTCTCCGGATCGACAATGTCCTTGTCGCCGCCCACACTCAGCAGCACCTTGAGGGCGGGGTACTTCCGCTTCAGGCTGGTCACCTGCCGGAACAGGCTGCTGCCCAGATCCAGGTCGAGCTTCTCGTTGGTGCTCACCAGCTTGTTGCTGCTGGGATTGATGCCCGCATATCCGTAGATCAAATGGCTGCAGTACTGCAGAGCAGGCTCCAGATCGTTGAGGGTTAGCTTCGAGAGACCTACGGACAGGGAAGGAGAAGAACAGCAGAGCAGTGAGCAGGGAGGGGAATGACAGTGACAGAGGCCCAACCCAAGCAGAAAAACAAAAATAAACCCCGTTTACATAATCAATTAACGCATCTCAAAGTGGCAGAGCCTCCCGTGACTCATTGACGACATCGACGACATCTGATTCCCATTTCCAATTTCCAATTAGCCAAAAGTCAACGCTTGTGTGGGTTTTACCGCTGGCCGAGTGGTGGCGGCGGCGGCGGCGGCGGCGGCTCGAGTGGGGGTCGCTGCAATTTACTTAAATTACTTGCAAAACTTCCCCCCCTACGCCCCGCGCAACCCCACTACCAATTAACGGGCTGTGAGAAGTGAGCACTTTTCAGCTTTTAGCATGCGGCTATGAAAAGTGAAAATCATCTAATGGAATATTGTCCCACTGCTTGTCTCTCTCTCTCTCTCTCTCTCTCTCTCTCTATCTATCTGGGAGACAGCGACAGAGAGCCCCAGCGATAACCTCCTTATCTGGTGCAGGCCGAGCCGAAGCAAAGTTCCCCCTCGATCTGGGTTGAGACACTTACCCTCGCGGACAAAGCTGGAGCCGTCGTAGTAGCAGAGCAGATGATGGGAGCCGGCGGCAGCGCTGATCTGGCCAATGGCCAGGCAGCCCACGAGCAGGGAGAGCAGGGCGTAGAGCTTCATGTCCAGCTGTAAAAAAAAACAGAGCCGCCAAAGGCAAGAAAGAGGAACAGCAGATTAGAGATAAGAAGCTGGAAGAAGCTCGACTCAAACGGCAAGGGTATAGAAATTTCTGGAACGAACTCGACTACAAAACAATAATTAATATTTCTTGCAATAAGAAATAATTAAATTAATTAATTTTAAGCATCGTTTGCGGAACTTTTCGTAGAAATCAAAGCAGCAAAAATTATAAGCAAAGATATTTAAGCTACAGAAAAAAAAAGTCTCAAGTCTGGAATATTCTGTGAATAAAGCGCTCAAGTCGTAGGATATCTAGGATTCACATAAATCACAATAAACAGAACAGCCTCACATTATGACACACTGGGGAAGCAACAAACAAAACACAATAGAAAAAAAAAACAAGACACCAGCAAATAAAAAAGTATAGCTCTAAAATAAATGTGTATGAATTATTCAAATGGCTTCACTGACTTGTGATCGCGTTAAACGTAAAACTGGAACTGTCCGAGAGTCGAGGTGATCCGAACTTTAAGTGAACTCGATGTCGAGAATACGAATACTCGCACCAGATGAAAACTAAAACTAAGGTGAAGACGAAAACGAAAACGAAAACAGAGCGAAGCGAAGCTTCAGGCTAGAGATGAGTGCGTGAGTGCGTATATCGTATGGATCGCTATACATCCCAAAGAATAAATGTAAAATAAACAAGTCTGGCACTTGGAGTAATTCTCCTTTCTGTCTTGCAAGAGTCACGCAGTGCCGTGAGCCTTTGCCCATCTCTACTATTAGAAGAGAGACAGACAGAGATGGGGAGAGACAAACAGTCATATCAGCAGCGACTGCGCAGCGGCAGCGCGAGCGATGAGAATGAAACGCGGCTTGAAGCCCGAATGTGGAGTGAGAGAGCAGTGCACTGAGCGGTGTGTGGGGGAGGGGGAAAAAACCAAAGCAAAGCTGTGAAACGAGGGGCGATTGAGAAGATAATAGCAAAGATACGATTTCACATGCATCAATCGATCAGCTCCAGTCTCCAATCGAACCTCGCTAAGCCGCAGTTTATTTTTTGTTGGTTTTTGTTTTTGTTTTTTTGCAATTGACAAAATGTTTATTTCTTGCTGGATTATATTCGTATGCGGCCCGTTGTCTCGTTCGCCGAGCCAGCGAGAGGGGTGAATGAGCGAGGTGTGAGGTGTGATGAAGTGTTTGTCATTGTTGTAATGTGTTGCTGTTGCTGTTGTTGGCTTTTGGGTCTGGTTGTTGTTTCGTTTGGCTTCCTTTTCGAGCCTGTTTCATTCGCCTACCGCTGTGTGCCGCTCGCTGCTCTTGTGATGTCATCATTACTGGGAATCGGTGGAGCAATTATACAATCAGGCCAGCACCAGCACCAGCGCCAGCTGCGAGCATTAAGTATATCGTTTGTGCTCGTCTGTGCATATATCCCCATTAAAGTGACAGTGTGGCGTGGCGTGGCGTGGCGTAGCGCGGCGCGGCTGGCTGGTGTTGGGGGGCTGGGGGCGTCAGTGTTTTCTCATCTTGTTTTTCTTGCGTCGAGGATAAATCTGACATAAAAATAAAATATCATCATGCATATAAATCGCAAATTGACAAAGTAAACCCAAACCAAACCCAACACCAAACCCAAACCGAGTTGGCTGTGTATGTTGATTTCTGTGTGATTTTTTTTCCACGATTTCAGCGCTAGAGCTGAAGCTGGAGCTGTGGTGTGGCTGTGGCTGTGGCCTTTGCTCTATTAATTTGTGTTAAAATTGATTTTAATAAATAAACACTTTGAATCGTTCAGCGTTTGCCTTCGTTTTCGTTTTCATTTTCATTTCATTCTCAAATGTTGACACACGGGCAAAAGGAGAGGCGGCATCGGCATCGGAATCGGTGTTTGTCATGAAATCGCCAATCGAGCGACTTTATCAATTTATGTCAGCCGGAGAGGTCAAATACAGACCCAAATGCTCGTGTGTATGCTGTCCGGAGTGGCTTTGTTTTTCGCTCGCCCTCCCTCCCTCCCTCCACCCATATTTAGTTTTAATTTGCTGGCGCGGCACTGCCTCTTCCTCTGTCCTGCACTCCCCTTCTCCACAGTTTGACAGCGACGTGACTGCGACTTATCTGCGGCTTGTGACTGAGGGATTTGGTTGGGGATTTTCGATGGGTTGGTCTCTGGGTTGGGCTAAACCCCTTACCTACCTCTCTCCCACTCTCTCTCTCTCCCTCTCGGCCACTCTGCCAACTAATGGGTCAACTGACTGAATGTCAACTCCATTGTGAGACTGGTGGGAGGCTCAGGCTCAGGATCAGGTTGAGGCTTATGGCCAAATGCTCTCGTCCAACGAGATACATTGAATGCGAAACTACGGGCTCTCAACGGGTTTTAATGAACTCCCTTTTGATACATGATCGAGGTTAAATGGCTGACTAAAATTCCTCAGTCAAAATAATTCCACTCTTCCCTGAATTGCTGTGGTGGAGAAATATGAATTTTATTATTCATTTAAATGCGCCGCATTTATTGGAAGCCCAAAAGTATGCAGCCCTTTGCGCCCTGCATTTCTTTGCACTCAAATATGAAACCGAACCCAAGAAGAACAGAAATAACATTAGCAGGGCAGACCGAAAGGAGAGATACCCTGCTGCATACAGAATTAGTTTTGTTGGTAAAATGTAAAGGTAAAAGTAGTGGTCTGATCATCATAGGGCGCATACCTTTCATCGCTTTGAAATTATCCAATTTTAAATCTGTGGAAATTAGCAAACTTCTCTGGATTTCATTTACTATTCTCATTTAAAATGTTGTACAAATTCAACCAAAAAAAAAACGATCTGGTCTAGCGATAAATGCCAATAATGTAAGTGGGCCGTAAATGTCTGTAATAATACATTTCCATATAATTATATTGCGATATTATAGTCTAAATTTAATGAACGACAACCAATTTACCCCATTGACTTATAATTTCATTAACTTTACTGTAAAAACCTATTTAAATAAGCAAAAGTTGACTTTTTCGGTATATTTTGGTATTTATTTTGCTTTTAGCCATGTTTTTTATTACTATTATCTCTTATACAAAAGATGATTAAAAAAATCTCGGCTAAACCGTTAGCCGTTTTTAACTGTTATTAACCTAGGAATTTATGTCCCGTGCGACATGTCCCGTGCGAATATTGTCTTAATTAAATTTAAAGAAAAACTGTGGACTATATTTGCGTAAAACAATAACCATTTTAAAGAGACACAAATGCACAACGTGAACAGAAATTTGCATATTTTTCCCTTGTTCCCGTTAGGGTTAGTCCAAAGGTGTGTTATAATGGTAAAACACTTTTGAAAATCCGTAATATTTTGACCTTTCTACCTTTTTACTTGAAATGCGTGCGACTTCAGAGAAATGCCCTGCATATGGGAATGCACATACACCAGATATTCCCTGTATATGTTTGCAATTGTAATTAAAACCACGTTAATCAAGTGAATGGATATATGTACAGTGTACATATGCCTCAGTGCGTGGGTGGGCAGAGCCGGGGTTCTGGCAGGTCAAACAAGTAATAATTAAGTAACAAAGTGAAAAACACACTCAAAAACATGACAGAAAAACGAGATGAACAAAAATAGTCCAATGAGGGGACAAGGATAAATGATTTAACAATCTTTAGAGGGTATAAACATACATGCGCATGTACATTGGTATGAGTGTATGTAAATATGGGGGCGTTGCATTAAATACATCCATTTATAGGGGAGTATTGTTGCTGAATTTTATTTATTTTTGTTATTAAATTTGTAATCAGTGAGAAGTAAACAATTATAAATGTTGATATCACGGGCTCTCGATTCCAATTTCACTTTGACTTATCTCTCCGTCCCTGTCTCTGTCTCGCTCTCTCTTTCTGATAGCTGTCGCTGTCTCATTTTCTGATTTCTGTTTACCCATCTCTCCGCTGCACAAATAGCTCTGCTGTGTAATTTAAACCAATTAAACACTCACCGAATAAACAAGCAAAAAAACACCAGCAGCAGCCACACCCCCTCCCACCGCACTTCCTTCTGGTGTGTGTGTGTGTGTGCGTGTATGTCCAGCCAACATGTTAAGTATGATTTACAAAATGGCTGCGTGCAGCAGCAGCAACAGCAACACCCATCATCAGCATAAATATAATAAAAAAACGAGAAGGAACGTGTGAGTCGCTTCTGGGGACGCGACTCTACATATACCCGTACTCAGTCAGTATATACATTTTTGAGCATATAATTTTTTAGAATTTTAGAATTAAAAAAATTTTATTTTAAATTTGTTTGCTACATCTGTTATCTACATCTACTATGTATATTCTACATCTAACATGTAGATTATAGATGTACCATTTATATTCTACATCTCCTCCGCTAGGGGTTGCTCGCGCACTGAACGTGACAGAGTGTGCGAGCGAGACAGAGATAGAGTAGCGTGTCTCTGGCTGGTGGAGGCGGGGGGAAGCAACTGCAAATTTCTTCATTCTGGCTATAATTATGATCCGATCTGATTCAGATTCGGCAATCTGGTAGATATAGGCATTCTCTACGATACTGCGCTTTCAGTTTTAAAGATGTGCCTGCCACAGATTTTCGGTTTTTGTGGGGGCGTAAGGCGGCGGGGCAAAATTGTGAAATAAACTTGTTGCAGTGTGATATAACATGAGTCTGGAAACCAAATTTGGTTGCCCTTGCTCTTATAGTCTCTGAGATCCAGGCGACAAACAAGACGGACAGACGGTCAGACGGACAGTTAGACATGGTTCTATCAACTCGGCTATTGATGCTGATCAAGAATATATACACTTTATGGGGTCGGAAACGTTTCCTTCTCTGCGTTACACACATCCACTTTTACCACAAATCTAATATACCCCTTAACTATTTTTTGAGTACGAGTATAATAAAATAAAATGGGAAAGAAAGCGGCAACGGTATTCATGAAAGACAGCTGCGGTAATCAATGGTGGTGGGTGGGGTGGCCATTCGCTACGAAAAACTGAAACGGAAATGAGCATCAAAGGCCACAACGGCATATCCTTGAACAATTGGAAACTGAAACATGAAACGTGGAATAGTGGAACTGTGGAGCTGAATGCAGAGCGATCGCATGCCTCAAAGGGATTACCGGATTGTTGTTGCCATGGGCAAATCGTTGTACAATATTTTCACAGCCAATTTGTGCGATTCAATTCAATTCTCTTAAACAAAACAAAATATGTAAAAAACCATTGAAAATACTTGTAACAAATGTAACATTTTATTTTTGAAAATGTTGCAAAAAAGTATTATCAAATTGTTACGCATTCAAAGATTAGTTACGGATCAAATATGAATGCCAGACAACTATTTGCTGACCATTGAAAAGTTAACCAGAATTACTTTCCCCCCGCCAATACAAAAATTACAATTATAATTCACTGGCATTTTTATATTTGTGTCATAAATCGATTAATTAATGTTTCTGTCCGGAGCTGTGCAATTTTCCCCGTTTTCCATTGCTTTGTTTCGGGCTCTAATTAAATGTGCAGCATATTTGAAATGTCTGCCATTCGTGGCATTGAAATTAATCGTTTCGTGCTCTATTTTGTTTTCAATTTTTTTATGCATTTTTTCTGCTATATTTTGGAAGCCGCAAAGACTCCAAGTTCTGGACAATTCCTGGGGGAAAGTGGGAGGAGAAGAGTGGCAACAAAAGTCGACAGGAATATCGACTTGACGTTGCAGTTGCTGTTGCTCTGTCATAAATCCAACGACAAAATAAAAACTGCATAAGGAATAAGAATGCAGCAAAAGAAATGGGAAAATGGGGAAAAATAAAAGAAAAAGACAAAGCTGAAAACTCGCAACAAAAAAATGGAAATAAAATTACGTGGAACAGACGCAGACGACGACGATGGCGACAGCAGTCGGATAAATATATGTACAAAACATATACTCACACATACATACATGCATATATCCGTACAAACACTCGAGTAGGAGTACGGGTATATGGCGGGTCCGTGTATATTTATTTTGCATGTCGCCTAACTTATATTTGTTTGTTTCTTTCGTTTTCGTTTTCTTTTCGTTTCTTTTCATGACTTTTGTACATTTTCCTCGTTTGTTTTTTTTTCGTGACGTTTTGGGATCATTGCATGGCTGAAATGCCAGTGAGTGGGTTGGAAAAGTTGCGCCTGGCACAAAGTCAATGATGCACAAAACTACGAGAGGCAGCAGCAGCAGCAACAGCAACAATGAAACATCGCCAGAAATGCCTTATAGCCGCGCAAAAGAACGAAGCTCAAAGCCTCTACCAAAGGAAGATAGAACAAGGCCCTAAGGAGCGTTGCTCGCGTAAGGGTATATGTATAGTGAGATAGCCAGGGTGCAGAGCATATTTGAAGCAGTCGAGCCGTGGAGTACCGACCATCAGGCCTGCATCCTACACTGAGGGGACGTTCTGGGCACGTGCACATTGCGCATACGCCTCATCGCACATCGGGGTGCCGGGAAATTGGTGGAGGTGTGGGGGGGCCTTATCTTAAACAAGTATATATATACTCGTATGCATATAAATAACTGAGAAATATTGTTTAATATACCACGCAGACAGAGGGAAGGGAGTGGAAGGGGAGCAGCCCTTGAGGAGTCATTGGAGATTGTCAATTGATCATAGGGCCCTATGAGAGGGGTATACTCGTATCAAATTGGCTGGGGAATGGGCCAATATATATTCCATCGTGATCCGAGGCATGCTTCGCTGAATGTCAAGGCCTGGCTACCCCCCACATGGCAGTAGTGCCTATGCCTGTGCCTGTGCCTGCCACATGCCCCATGGGATTTTGATCGATGACTTGGTCTGAACTGATTGACTGACTGGCTCGCACAGCGATTGACTGACTGACTGAGTGAGTGAATGATTGAGTGAGTGAGTGAAAGACCATCTACGAGCAGACCTAACAAATGATGTTGGCCTCTGGCAAAACAAAGGACTTGCCCCGTATCAAATCAGCCTCACTGGCGACTGGCGACTGGCCACTGTCCTGTCTGTCACGACTTGGTCTTGGACTTTGAATTATGGTAAGAGCGAAAAAGTTTTCTGGCTTAGCAGCAGGGTCAGGGGCCACGCACAGATAAGCTGCGATGTCGAAAGTTTTGATTGAAATTAATAATTTCCAATTGGTATTTTAGGCGGCACTTTCTACCCCCTCCCTTGCTTATCCTGCGGGCCCCTTTGAGGGCCAGAAGTTTTCAATTTACGCCAAGTCTCTTGGCCGTGTACAGTGGGTCATTCAGGTGTTGTCTGGCACTCCATTTTCATGCCATATCCTTGGCCTACTCGTGCACCACTGTGCCAAGTACTTTCCCCATTTGCATTGCCATTTCCTCGTACCCGTACCCGTGCCCGTACTTCTACCCGTCACCGTCTCCGTTTCCTTTTCCGACTGCTCTGACTATCCAAAACTAAAGTCTAAATATCCTGGCACGCCTCAACTGCTTCCTTCTGGCTGCTGCTGCTGTGGCTGTTGCTGCTTCTGCAGTTGCTTTGTCCGCAGTTGCAGGGATGGCTAAAAGTTTCCATTGGTTTGTTCCCAGCTTCTCATCAACACGAGTAAGGGTAGTGAGATGGAGCGGGGCCCTCACTTTAAGCCGGATATCGAGTCAGCCATTCCCGCAGTTGTTGCTGTTGTTTATCGTGACATATTTGTGGCATCCAATGGAGGGAGGAGCCGAGCCGAGCCCAGCCCAGCCCAGCCCAGGCGAGCCGAGTATGCAGCCGGAAGTATGCTTTTCTTTGGCTTGTTTCCTGTTCGTCTTCCCCATTTTCCCCGTCTCCAGCTGATGTTTGCTCCTGCTGCAGTTCCACACAGCAACATCTCCATCTCGATTTCATTTGCCTGCTGCTCAGAGGCAACTCCAGCGGACTCTGTGTGGAGGGGGGCATTGAAATTTCCAATCAAATTCAGTCAGCGTGAAACCAGAAATGTTGCCCCAACAGCTCCTCCGTGCTGCAGTGGCTTCAGCTGGCTTCAGCTGGCACAACTTTACTTTCCATTCGACAGCAAACAGCAAAACACTTCAAAAAATGGCGCACTGCATAAATTTCCATTTGTATTTGTATTCGATGGGAAAACAAAAAAAAATCGCAACATCGGCCATCGATAGCCAAGGGCTGGGGGCTGAGAGCCGCGATACCAATTATAAAGTGATAATCGAAAAGCCGATAAGGGGCAGAATCTCAGATAGGGTTCAATGTCTGTCTAAGTTTTCGGGTGGACTCAAAGCTCAATGCGGTGCGATGCGGTGCGATGCGGTGCGGTGCGGTGAGGCCTTCTGTTTTTGGTGTTTGCTTTGGCAATTTGCAGCTGCCACCCACATAGACTCACAGACCAACAGACAGACAGACAGAGGCCACAGTGCCACAGACAGAGGCAGACACACACGCACAGATACAGATACAGGTACAGATACAGGTACAGGTACAGACAGGTGCATTTGTGGTTGCACGCAAATTGGTGCAAGTTGCCAATTGCCGATTATCCCAGGCAGTCAGTTGCAACAAGCAACGAGCAGCGTGCAATTGGCAACTGGCAACTGGCAGCTCGCTTCTCTCTGCTGCATGCACCCCCTTGCTGCCGCATTCTTGGCTGCCTGCACACTCTAGAATTTTTAGAGCTTCTCAAACGCTGGCCCCCCCCTCTCAATGCATGCCCCAAAGGAGCTGGAGCAGGAGCAAAAGTAGAAGCAGAAGCAGAAGCAGGAGCAGGAGCCTGCCTTGCCAGCACACATCCCTCATTAGCCAGATTCCATTCGATTGATTGGCCGTCTTAAGATTTCCCCATCTCATTTGCCATTCAATGGCATTCTTCTTGCCAATCAACTGTTTCTCCTTGCCCGCCCACTTCACAGTCTGCTGCACCCGGGCACCCTTTTTTTTTTGTAGCCTTCCAAGGGGCATATCACACATTAGTGGCCTGGCCTCCTATCAATGCTTTAAATACATTTATTTATTTGAACATTAGCCAAAAGCGAACATAAATTAACATAAGGAAACTGAGGAACTGGAACTAGAGGACTTTTTAACTCTGTTTTCTGTTTGTTTGACTGTGGTAAATATCAGCTCGGAAGTATCGGCTGACTGTTCGGTTAATAAGTGGATATAATGTTGCTGACGGGCAGGCGAACGAGGCCCATGAAGCAATTGTATATAGTGTAGCCAATGATTATCGAGGCCTCGCAATCGCGTAGCACCAGATCGCGTCCGGCAGTTTCCTTGACGATTTGCCCGGTTAGCAAACGGAGCATAGTCCCATTCAATGGCTGGATCTCGAACTGGATGTAGTAACGTTGAACCAAACGCGGATTCTCGTTCAAGAAAATCCCAACGCTTGGCCCGGCTGGCACGTCTGCAATGATTTCGAACAGGTCCCCCTTGATGCTAGTCAAATGAAGTGACTGTAGACGGTGCATCTTAAACTAGAGTAGAAAATCCATAAACATACATATAACTATGGATAGCTGGGATATATACATATATACATTTGTGAACTTACCATTTTGATTTATTTTGAAATTATTCGTTTTTAAGCAGCAAATAAGTGGACTGACTCCGTTCGGAACTATACTGAATAGAGAATGGAAATTACAAGTCACACTTGGAGACTTGTTCTAAAAGGGCTTCTGGGTTTCAGTATGTACGTAGGTTGCTATACAAGTTTTGAACAATATTCTCCAGCAATACGAAACCTTACTTTACATTTCAAATGGTTTAACTTATTTTCGCAGCACTTTTGCCACTCAGGAGAAAGGCCTATAAAACCTGTCTTAATAAGCCTCTTTCGCTTGTTTATAATCAATAATTATTGATGTTTTTTTCGATTCGTCACTTTATTATTATTATTATTAATTATTATTATTTATTATTAATCTTATTTATTGAAAATTTTCTATTCTTAAATTTGGTGGGTTCCCCAGCTAGCATCCCTTTTTTACCACGAAGCGATCATGGAAAATCCTATTAATGGTCGTCATACTAATGCCCAAGGATGCCTCAATCTCGCGGTTTGTGACATGTCGATCTTGTACAATCGTTTCGCGTACAGCATCGATATTTTTGGCATAAAAATAAATTTTAAACGACCTGCACGAAGTTCGTCCTGCAGCGAAGGACGTCCGCGATAGAATTCGCGATACCAGTTTTCTAATTTGGCAATGCATGGTACTAAGATGATCTAAGCATTCTTGGCCTAAAAATCCAGCTCGAATTTGGCAGAAAATCATGACACAGACATTTTTATGTGTAAATTTCAAGTTTTCGCGAGATGAATATTTGATTTATCGTTGATCGACATCAAACGTGGTCGTACACGAACAAGTTGTATGTGGGTTTAATCCATAAAAGTTCAAACTTTTTTATGCAACTGACCAATTGGTCCAACTATGGCTAGAAGTGATCTAGGCCAGAGTAAAAATAGCACCACCCCTCGTATATGTATTTACGTATGAAAATGCAATGTATCGATAAGCGACACACTTCTCTGATTTGAATGCTTCTTTAAAGTATCGATAATTCGTTAGTTCCTTAGCTTCTTTCGCTTCTCTTTGCCCCCCATTTTTTGGGTTGGGTTGGGTTGGGTTGGTGCGTATGCATCGCAATCAAGTTGGAGGCAAAAAAAAAAACAAAAAAAGACGCGGCAAATGGGCCAAAAGAAACTTGAGCAATGACCATTCATTTTGTTGCACTTGCCTCCCCAACCCCCAGCACCCCTCTAAAGATGCATTGCAATTGTTTCTCTATTCTTGTCTTGTTCTTGCTCTTTCTCTTCTCCTCTCCTCTCCTCTCCTCTCCACTCCTCTCGTTTCTTTTCTTTTGCTCTTTTCTCTGGCAACGATTTCTCTTCTTCTGGTACGTTGGCTGGGCCATTACTTTTGCTTTAACTTGCACTTAGCCGCTGACAAAGCAGCTGCAACGTTGAGGCAGCGCCCTTCTATGGCAGCGGAAGGGTGGTGGGGAGGGGGGGGAACGTGCATCATTACTCTTGGCAAGGCGCAGTGGAGCGCATGAGTTGACAACTCCACTGTATTGGCCACCATTCCTGTTCAGTTCTGCCCCGTCCCAAAGGCGAGCGAGGGGACAAATATTGCACATGTCATTCGACGTGACCCCATAACAGTGCTGCAGCCAGCCATCGTTCAAAATAATATTTCCAACCCTCGAAGAGGCCTGCTAAAAGTTGAGAATGTTGCAAGCATTTTTCCCTCTTGCCAATGGATCATTTTCCATGCTAGATTTTCCGATAACTCCGTTTGCTTGGGCTTCTGTTGTAAAGCCTATTTCAAGCTAGATTTTGCGATAGCCTGCTTTGCCCTGTGCCTCGGCCGTGATTGCTTTTGGCCACATTGACATCTCCGAGCATTTTTGGCCATGACTTATTCATGTCAACCGCTGACAAACGGCGGCCAACAGCAGCTGAAACCAAGGGCTGCAACGGAAACGAAATCGAAATCGAAATCGAAATTGGAAGATGGAGTTGCAGTTGGAGTCCAGCAGATGGAAATGGAGATGGAGATGGAGATGGAGATGAAGCCGAAGACTGAGCCTTCAATCAGCAGCAGGCAGAAGGAGCAGGAGGAGAAGCACGAGAAGCAGCAGGAGGAGAAGGAGGACCCATCCCATTCACATGTAGGGTGCCAGGAATCACTTTTCCATACTAATGAACTGTCACACGCACAAGATTCTCTCTCTTTCGCACTCGCTGTGGCTACCGCTCCTTTGCTGTGTGTGAGTGTGTGTGTGTGTGTGTCTCGCTCTCTTTCTCGTCTGAAGTGCTCATATATCTTTCAGGCAGAGTCGGGGGCGCTTAAATTACACTAAATCACAGGCAAACAAATTGAATTTTAAGTTGGCCATAGAAAAACCGCAATGCAGCCGCCTTCTGGATGGAAATCACTTGAAAAGGCCACAAGGAGTGGTGTGTAGAGCAGGCTGGGGGGTGGTGGCTGCTGCGGCAGTCAGCAGAGGTCCTTGCCAAAATGACGAAGCATCCAGCAGCAGCAGCGGCAGCAGCATCAGAACTCTCTGGTCTGCTCTGCGGCCCTCCTTCAGGTGTCTTTCATCTTCATCTTATTGTATTTTTGAAGCAGACCTCACCCTGCTCCCTTTTGGGTGAACCAACCAACCAACCAACCAGCCAACCAGCCAGCCAGCCACCCGCAACAGACATTAGGCTGACAAACAATGCGGCCATCCTGCTCCTCCTTTTTGGCCGTGTTTGGCCAGATTGATGTCAGGCGGCAGCCAACACTCGAAATTGCACTTGGTGGCCAGCATCGGAATCCAGAGAGAGGGAGAAGGAGGCACAGCAACTGGCACTGCCACTGCCACTGGCACTGGCAGTAGCAGTGGAGCAGTGGATGGAGCAGATGCAGGACAAGAAGCCAGAGCAGCACTTGGCTATGCAAAAAAGCGGAAAAGTAAGGATTCAGCAGCAGCAGCAGCAGCCCTCGAGCAACCTCGAACCGGAAGCACCAGGAAGCGGAAGCGGAAGCGGAAACGGAAGAGGCACTAACCCAGCCACACAGCCACACAGCCACAGCCTCGTCTATGGCGTTGACACACTGTGACTAAGTGAAATTGTAGAACAAATTATGCAATTCTTCGGCTAGCAGCCATTAAAGACCCGGCTGAGGCCTGCCTGATACCTGATTCTGGGACTGACTTGGGGGAAAATCTGCAGATTTCAAATTGAATTTCAATTCGAACTCGAAATATAAAGCCGCGTCGTCTTTTTGTCTCTCTGGGGCATTCCATCACTCCCATTGGCGATCCTGCAGGACCCCACTGGCTCATCTTTGCCCCTCTGCACTTATCCCCCAGTCCCTCAATTCCCGCTTTTGGCGGCGTTGACTAACGAACACTATCAGTTAAATCTTGAAATTGCACTTGGCAAGCGTTCAACATGCCGCACCTTCCTTGGCGGCGCCACTCCTGGCCGCATCTGCATGTCCTTCTGCTTCTGCTGCTGCTCCTGCTCCTGCTCACCGCATTGGCATGGTTGACATGCAAACATGCAGCCAAGGGCCAGCCAGGACCAGCACCAGCACCAGGACGACACCACTTAGCAAAGCTGTCCCAAAGGTGGAGGGCTCCAGCTCCAGCTCCACTGGATTCTGCAGGGCAGGGCAGGAGGCATCCTAAAGAGTGAGATTCGGTAGAAGCAGAAGGAGCATGCGGGCGGGGGGCCAGGGGCCATTCTAAATTGCTTCGCATTACACGCCGTTCAGGGCGCGAAGGATGTTCGGGCTCTGCTCCCGGCTGCAAATCTTTTGTGCCTCTCCTGTCTTGGCTTTTTGCGCAATTTTCATTTCATTTTTTGGTTCGTTTTTTAACTGCTCACCGCAGATGCTATCAATATTTATCTTCCTCTTCCGCCGGCCCGTTGTTCTCTCTGTAGCAGCGGCAGCAGCTCCTTGGTGGCAAGCAAGGACAAGGGCCCTGGTCGTGCCACTGCCACTGCCACTGGCACTGGCACTTCTTTCACTGTGTTGTTCCTTCCCCCCGTTCCTTTTTTTCGCAACAATATTTTTCCCTGAGATTTCATATCATTTATCAGGCTCGACGACAAATTTGTCATTCTGAATCTGTCAATTTCTGCTTTATTAATATTATACGAGGGCCAACAACCAGGCCAGGCCAGGCCAGGCCAAGCGACCCTTCCTACTTGGGCTCCTCGTCTCTGTGTCTCCTTGTCTATGGCTGGAATTTTCACTTACAGAGATTTGATGAGACCGCCCGCCCGCCCGCCGCCCGAACCACAGAACCGCAAACGTCTTCGACTTGGACCCCCAACCATGCCACACCACACCACACATGCCACATGCTGTCGTGGGCGTGGGCATGGGCGTGGCTGTCAGGCAGTGGCAGTTGACTTGCTGCTAACAGTTGTCTCTCTGTGCCTGTGTGCCACAGAGTCACCTACCTGTGTGGCAGTGGCAGTGGCAGAGGCAGAGGCAACTAAGAAGAATTGTTGCCCCATTTCGATGGGACGGCGGCGGAAGAGTGAGAGGATAGATGGATGTGGAGGTTGCTCGATTTATTGCCATCAACCCCCGCATCCGAAATGGAAATGCTCGCATAATTCAGCAGATGAGTTTTTAGTTGACAGCTGGAGCCGGTAATGAAGGGGCAGGCGTGACCCCGGACACACCCAAAACCAAACTTCAGGCTGGGCTTAATTGAGCTGGTGCACAGGCAGTACAGTGAGCATTGGATATGAGTGCCAAAATGGGGGACAAGTGGTATATATTTGCATGTATAATTATATATTTTTTTTCCAGGATCCGTAGGACTTCTAATTTGTATAAAGAAAAATTATGAAATAAGAATTAAATTTTTGATTTTAATTTTAAAAATAAAATATCTAAAATATACATATGTATAATATAATTTATAATTTAAAGTTTCTAAATAATTATTTCTTTATCTTCGGGGCAAAGATTTCCTCGGACCCTACTTGAGCTCTTTCTACTCCTTTCTTAGTGTTCCCCCAATATTCAATATTCAGCTGCAACTGCAACCGCATTCACAGTTATTTATGCGCGGCCTTTGTAGCCAATCATCACTGTACCTAACCCAACCCGAGCCGAGCCATCATTTATGTAAATTG